AAAGTATTGTATTCTCACGGTTATGGGCTAGGGCTTGGCCCCTTCTGATTTTAAGAAGCTATGATTTTGTTACCTGGAGTTGTACATAAACTTGATGGTGGAAGGGATAACACTGATGAGGGAGGCCAAATCTGAGCAGGGGAAGATGGATGGGATTTGAATAGGTAGCATAGAGACTCATAACACAGACATTAAATATATAGAAGCAGAGAGACTCTTGGTGGCTTACAGGTAAAGAATTACACTGCTAATCCAAAGAAACACAATTTAAAATCACTACCTACTCCATGAGAGAAAGATGGTCAACCTCTTCCTGTGTGATTTACTTACTTTGAAAACCCACTGGAAGGTCAGCTGTAAGTCAATTCCAACTCCACAGTACATAACAACTATAGAGAACTAATCTGAAATTAATAGCAAAACCAAATATTAACCGATTACTATGTGTAAAAATGAAACTGATCATAGAAAAGCTACCACTAAATTCAGACTAAGGTCTGGACAAAATTAGTTACCTAGAGTTAGATCAAGAAGCTATTTTTCCAAAAAGAGCTAAGAAATATTGCATTGCTCAAAATTAAGAAAAGTTTGCATCAGGGATTTATTCTTTCTCCATACCTATTCAATCTATATACTGATCAATTTATTCAAGAATCTGGACTCAGTGAAGAAAAATGTGACATAGAGAGAAGTTTCAGCAATAACCTGTGTTATGAAGATGCCTCAACCTTGTTTGCTGAAAGTGAAAAGAACTTGAAGTGCTTGCTGCAGAAAATCAGACTACAGCCATAAATATGGGTTATATCTCAACATCAAGGAAGCTCACAACCTTACTACTGGGCCAATAAGCAACATCATGACATATGGAGAAAATATTTAAATTGTCAATGATTTCATCTTAATTGAATCCACAATTAACACCCTTGGCACTGTTGTAATAATGTTGTTGCTGTTGTTATGTGCTGTGGAGTTGGCCACAACTCACAGTGACCCTATGCACAATAGCTCTGGACCCTGCTCTATCCTGAACCAATCTCACAGTCTCTGGCACACCTGCCCGGATTACCACTTTCACACTAGCAGTCAAGAAATCAAAAGATAGATGGCATTGGGGAAAGTCTACTATCAGGCACCTCTCCAGTGTACTGGGAAACAGCAATGTCAGTTTGAAGACAGGTACACCTGATTCAAGTCATTGTCTTTTCTGTCACTTGCTGTGTGTCTAAGACAACAAGGATGAACAACGGAAAAGGATAACGGAAGAACAATCAATACCTTTGAGATGTGATGCTGGAAAAGAGTAAGAAATATCCCATGGACTTCCAAAAGAACAAACACATATGTGTTAGTGAGGAAATGCAGCAAGGGTGCTCCTTAGAGGCAAAGACGGCAGAGCTTCATCTCACATACCTGTCACTAAAAGGGAATATTCCTTGCAAAGAGACATCGTGCTAGAAAGATCAGCAAAAGAGAGAAAGATTCTCAACAAGATGAATTGACATAGTGACTGCAGCAATGGATCAAGTAAGTCAGAAATGATGAGGATGGTGCAGGATAGGACATCTATTGTTCATAGGGTTGCTTTGGGTTAAACTCGACTCGACACTCTAACAATAACCTTTTGCTTTAACTCTTCCTTATCTTTTCATCCACAATTGTTGTCTTCTTGGTTCATCTTACACTTGCCTTCCTCATAAACCTTATCTCAGAAAAGAACCCACTGTCATCAGTCTTTTGCTGCTTCATGTTAAATTGAGTCTGTATTTCCACTACTCCAAATATTTTCCATACTATTTTTTAGAATTCTGGATTGCACTCAACAAATATAAGCCTTGTACAGGCAAGATATTATCTTTTTGGGATTTTGAAATTCAACCTGAAATCTAACTTCTGATTGCTTCTCTCCCAGCCTTTCTCCCAAGAATAGAAAATATCTTCCAAATAAATCTCATACCTTCAAATTTGTGTTTCAGAGAAACACTTCACCTCTTTTTTAAGTAAGGGTCAGATTTATCACCTGTTGAAAATGTAAGCATAATTTTGTTCACCCTAGTGTCTAGAAGATTTCAGTCATGTAATATCTAAGTCATAATTCAAAATGAACGCAAAGAGTCTTGTAAGGTAGCTTCAAATGAAATATCTTTTGCCGTTGCTCTACTGAAGGTTCCCTTTTAATTGTTTTATTGGTTCTCCAGGGAGGGACTGATATATATGGAATCCAAGGTGGAGTCCATCCATAACTTCGTCATGGCAGGTTCAGACATACCACACAATCTCAGACTCATAATATCAAACACACTTCTGTTATCCTGCTTCCTAGTCTAGTGTGTCCCCAATCTTTTGATCATATTTTAATAATTTCATATTTTGAGTGAAAAGGATAGTGATTCTATTTTATGTGTTGAAAATAATATAGATGGAAAGGGTTTAGATGATGATTTGATTGAATTGCTGTGAATCTCTACTATGTTCAAAAGATATTGACTGCTTGGTTGACATTCTCTCATTAAAATAGAGCATTCCTAATGTAGAGGTGGTCTAGTTTGACATGAAGGTTGTTGTTATGCGCTGTTGAGTCAACTACAACTCATAGTGAACTTATGGGAAATGGCTATGAAATTTTTCCTATCCTTAATCAACTTCACTCTTTCTGACCCACCTGATCTAATTGCCACAGTCACTATGTAAATCTATCTCATCCAGGGTCTTCCTCTCCTGCCCTGAGCCTCTACCCTTGCTGCTCTCTGGTGGAGCTAGTGCTCAGGGCCTCCTTACCCAGCTTCCAGCGTGTGTCTGTCTGCTGAAGTATGGTCAGCAATAAAAACATTCATTTCTCTAAGTAGCGTTTTAGAGATGTGCTACCCAGATGAGCTTATCCCCTAACAATTAATTAGCAAGTGTTCAGATTAAGTGATCCTTATGCTAGGGTTGCCTACAGGCCCAACTGTCATTGACTTTAGAGCCTAGGTATGCTTCTACAAGCTGAGTTTGATTGTAGGACCTGGCATCAAGGACAATGGGAAAGGAAAGCCTTGAGGACAGTTCGCCAATAGGATTATGTACCAGAAATAAGGACATTGCACTTAATATTTAAGATTGAAATGCAATTTTAAGGGACGAACACTTAATGAACACAAAAGTGATAAATTTACTTCTAGAAAAAATAGACTAAGTACATACTATAAAAATGAGGAATGCATTGGCCCTCCTCACATTGACTGGAGTGAACTTTTAAACCTGTTACACACTTAGCTTTATCTGTAAGCTGATAATGGCAAGCTAAAGCAAGCCAAGCAGTCAGAGAAACACATACGGAACTTTGGCTGCAAATAAGCAGGCTGTATTTCTGTAGAGCTAAGGTAATGAAAGCTTTACATCAAATAAATGCCCATCAAGAAGTGCTAACTGCTCATGTAAGACATCTGCAACATCTCAAGTGAAGGCCTTAGTTGCTGAAATAATTTGCCGACTTGGAGCATGTAATTTGCTGTTTGATTTAAAAGAGAATCAACTAGACTAAATTTTATATCTTCTGGGAAAAGCTTTATCATATTTTGCATAAATATAAACAAGCAACAAAAAGGATGTCTATGCCAGAATTTAGGCAGGGAATGCCAAGTTGAAAAATTCTCAACTGTTAAGAATGGGCAAAGTGCAGACTAACATGTGTGCTGTGGTGATGGACAGAACTGTATACTTCACTGGACTCCAGCCAGGTTGTGATTCACTAGCCTTACAGAAGCTAGCTCGCTATATTATACCTCTAACTCAGACACAGCATAAGCTTATTTAATCCTTCTTTGTTTTCATGGTGACAGTTCTAGTTATCAGTGTTATCTTGCTTCTGGAAATTGCAACAACAATAGAGAAATCCAATCACTTGTTTGCAGCTCATAAATTGTGTGGGTACTATGGAAGTTGCAGTCTATTAGAATTTCTTCGTGTTTTCCCCTAAAGGTAACTCAGGTGAAAAGAGAAAGAGGGGGGACAAGGAGGAAAAGGAAGAAATATTGGTTGTACAGATTCTAAAGTTTACTTGGATGGATGATACACAAAACTTAGCAGGTGGTTTCCATTGTGTTTCTTGGATAGCCAAGCAAGAAATCTTCTACAGCTTATCTTACACCAAGGATATGGAAGTTACCTATCTAACAGCAAAGAATATTGCATTGACCATGGGCTGCCAAAAGTACAAACACATCTATCTTTGTGTAGCCAGAGTGCTCCTTAGAAGCAAGGATGGTGAGACTTTGTCTCATAAACTTTGGGTATGTTATCAGGAGAGGCCAGTCCCTGGGAAAAGACAATCATGCCTGGAAAAAGAGAGGGTTATTGACAAAGAGGAAGTCCCTCAGTGAGAGGATTGACACAGTGCAGCAAGGTGCACATCAGAAATTATGAGGATGGCACAAAATCAAACCGAGTTTCATTCTGCTGTACTTAGGATTTCTATGAGTCAACACTAAGATGACAGCACCCAACAAGACAAAGGCAATCTAACAGCAATGTGTGTTATTTTAGGAACTGAGGCACCAAAAACCTAGGTTACAAGACTAAAACAAATTCATAGTTTTTTAAACCCGTTGAAACATTGTTTAAGCTCTTGTAATATTGAGCAAAAGGGTTGGCCATTTGAACAGATCTAGCCACTCTCTCAGAGGAGAAAACCTGGAAATCTGCTCTCAGAGAAGTTCTATACTAGGCAATATGACATCATTCTTAACTGTCACATTGTGTCACTCTGAGACAGAATCAATTCCACAGTACCTAAAGACAGCAATATTGAGCAACCATAAGCCCTCAAAAAGTACCAGAACAAATAGTGAACAAGACAGGCAAGAAGGGTTCTATAGTAAGGGCTCAGTCATGAAGAGTGGGGTTCAATAGTATGGAAAGATAGCTGCTTCCTAAAAGTGGGCACATTTAGCTGCTAAAAGAGACACAAATGATATATCTTATTCCAAAAATGGGACTCTAATTGTTGATTCCCTCACTTGTAGATGGAATTAGGTACTCTTATATTTGAAAATGTTGCCTGTTTGATGTATGACTGTCTGGATTGGAGAAGACAACACCAGCACTACTTGGAAAGTATGGAGCTTATTAATGTCCCACAAGTGGTTCCAGAGAAACCCATCTTAGAGACCTTGCTGATATCTGAGGTAGGCTCATGCTTGAGTGTCTCTACTGGGCTAAGTTATTTGACTGAACAATGTAATTTTCACATATATAAAGCGTATGATGGAAAAAATACATAAAAACTAGTAGTGAGTATTAAGGAGAGAAGGAACAGCTGGGCAAGGTGGTCAGCTCAGTACTTCCTTCCACTTACCTTTCTACCTTTCCTTTCTCTTCCCTGTCTCAATGCTGAGCACAGTTGAAGCTGGAGGAGAGCATCACCAAGTCCTCATGTTCCTGTAAAGGTTTAATATTTAAGTATCTAAAACAAGGCTAAACCCCCAAGAACATGATGAAAGGAGATTTATTGTGTGATAAATGCTTTTATAAAGTGCCCAACTGCCAGCTCATCCCAAAGTGGAGATGGAACCCACTTTTCAGCACATGTCATTGTGTTCTGTTGAGTTAGAACCAACACATAGTGAAGCCCTCAGTGAGTTTTCATAGGCAGTAACATCTGAGACAAGGAATGATATTATAGCTTAGTCACAATAGCATGACATATTCATTTATTTGACCAATGTTTAGTTAACACCTACTGGACCTTGATGGTATGGTGAGTGACACACTGGCTCCTAATAAAAATTACTGCTATCCAAAAAGTTTATAGATTGCATCTACCAACTGTTCTGCAGGAAAGGTTGAGGCAGCCTCTTTTTATAAAGATTTATAGCTTTGGAAACCATTTAGGGCATTTCTACTCAATACAATGATATTCCTTTGTAATTATCAATCTAGTGGCAAAGGCTGATGGACATGAAAGCATAAAGTCCCTGAATGGTACAAATATTTAATGTGCATAGCTACTGATGGGACTCAGAAAAAAAGGCTTGGTGATCTACTTCTGAAAAAAATCAACTTTGAAAACCTTGTGGAAAAGGGTTTCACTATTGACGCATATGGAATTGACTTGAGGTTAAAATTGATGTGCTAACACTGTGCAAGCTGACAGCAATGCAATAGTGAACAAGATTCAACCCATTGAGCTTAGTAGTTGAAGGGAGCCCTAAACATGTGAGTAGTAGTTTTAACAGTATGTGACACATGCTTTAAGAAGTCTACTCAGACTAGAGGAGAGATAATTGCAGGACAAGGGCAATTGCAGGATGGCCCCTAATCTGATATAGGAGGAGTGAGGTAGAGGGAAATCTTATCAAGAAAAGTGATGAATTCAAAGGCTGAGGGTGAATTGCCTAATAAAAACTTCAAGGAAGAAAATGTCAGAATGATACTCACAGGAAAGGCACAAAGATATGTGAAGATATGGAAGTGATATCATGACCCAAAGAAGAAGCAGGGAGTAGTTTGGTGTTCTTGAGCCATGCCAAAAATCCACAGCTGCCAAGTCTATTTCCACTCATAGTTACCTTCCATGGAGTTTCTGGGGCTATAAATCTTTCCTGGAGGAGACTGCCCATTTTTCTCTCCATGAGTAGCTGGTGGTTTTAAACTGCTAACTTTTCAGTTAGCAGCCTGATAGGTTATACACTGTACTGCCAAGGCTCCTTCCCAAGTTTGCATGTGCAAATTGAAGAGCCACCTGCCCTGAGGCTGCAAAGTTGGGAGTCAGAAAGACATAATTCCTCAATTAGTTCAGACAGCTTCTCAGTCAACAAATGAAAGTCTAGGTTCAGTTCAGCAGCACAAATAAACCTCTGGTTTCCTCAGTCATCTATCAAACTTTATCTCAGAGCAGTTACAAATCAACTTTTCCTTCAATCATCCAGCAAGCAAAACCTTTAATTGTGGCTCCATCTCCAGGGCTTCTCTGGTTATACCTTGCCACAGTCTCCTTGCAGTGTCTTCACAGTCTCTTCATAGCAGTGCCACAATCTTTTCAACCTCTCTCCCCAACCATTTTTAACTGTGCAGAAATGCTCTCTTATATTATATCCCATAGCTGTTGATGATTTGTGAGAACATATGTCTGCAGTTAAGGTACCTGGAAACCATACCATCAAAGGGCACTACACAACAGATAGATAAGACAGTTTTCAAGGTTTCTTATACCACATTGAATTTGTAAGCATCTCTCAGCTGCATATCTGAGTTGTTTTCTTTTTTTATTCTTCTCTTAGGCACCACAACCTGTAGCTCCAACAGCTGGAAAGAAGAAAGCACAGTATGAAGAACCACATGCTCCACCACAAGGCATGTATGATGCCCACTGCTGAAAGATCACCACCATAAGCTGGTGGTTTAAGGAATGATGAATGCCCTTAAACTTGTATTCAAACCTATGGTTTCTCCTTTGATTACTGCATGGTCATAGTTCGAATTTATGAATGATGTTTTCATGGAAGAACTGGAGAACATGTGTTAATGAGACAACGATATTTTCTGTATTTGCAGTGATTTTTGTCATGACAACTGAAGTAGACATGAGATATTACAATGACTTGCTAAATCCAATTCCAGAAGAATTCATTTCGGTGCCCCTGATAGTGCACTGTATGGTGGAGCAGGTGGGTGTACTGAGGTTTTTATCCAGATGGGCAACATGAACAAGTCACTTCATCTCTCTTAGCTATGCCTTTTTATAACACTATTTTCAAATTGCACTTACAGTACCTGTATGCACTCTTCTTTCAAACGATTGAAATCAAATAAAACTAAAGTTGGATTTGATCATGAGCCATGCTACTCTGCCTTCCTTGATCACGCTCTGGAAGAGTTTTCTGCTATCTGGGACTTGTGCTGTTTTAGAAGGGAGAGACTGGTAGGAGGGGGGGAGGGTGCCTAGGACTTTTTTCCTTATTGTTATTAGTGGCTAATGCATAGTAGTCCCCTGTTTACTGTGAGCAGAGTAGAATTAGTCCAAAGAATTTTCAAAGATGTTCTATTTCAGAAGCAAATCACTAAAGCCTGTGTTCTGAGGCATCTTTGAGTGAATTTGAACTACTTATCTGAGCCCTTAACCATTTATGAAATCTGAGACTCTCTGTTTAGTATTTTAACTACCATTTAAAAATTTTTGGCACATATTTAATCACGTTTATCTGAGTAAAGATTTAATCAGATTTATCTAATTCTGAAGGAGCCCTAGTAATATGCATCATGTGTAATGGATATAATGTGTTGGGCAGCTCACCAAAAAGATAGAAGTTAGAAGCCATCAGCCACTCTGTGAGAAATATGGATACCTCCTTCCTCTAAGATTTACAGCCTAAGAAGCCCAATGGAGGGTCTTTATGAGTCAGAATCAACCAAACAACAATGGATTTAGATGTTTTTTTAATCTAATAATCTAATTTTGAGAGCAATTTTAGTCATTTTTCTTATAACTATTCATTTTATTTAGATGATAAATATGGTAGGAAGTTCTTTATACTATTCATATATATAAATATATATATAAATTTTAAATCCTGTATCAGTTATGTTCCTTTTCGTATGACAGATGTTATTTATTTAAATTTTCTTCTTTATTGATCATATTTTAATTTATTTGTTATTGTTTTTTGTGTGTTTGTCCCAGAGAAAAACATTTTGACAATGATCAGGTCAACTCTTTTGAAATGTTCATATTATTAATTTATCTCTATTATTTTACTCTCAATACTTTCTTTGGGCTTATGTTTTAATTTTTTATTGGTTTTCATATAATAATTCCTTTACATTATGTTCCATTCACATATATAGTGCTTTATACAATCTTTCATTTACATTGTATTTCATAAAATCATTCATATGCATTCTATTTTACATTTTTTATTCATGCTTACAAAGTTTATATATATTTTACACTATTCTTCATTCACATTGTGTATAAATCTTTGGGCTTATTTTTATTACTTATTTCAGTCTTTTTTGTTTGCTTTCTAATAAATTCACATAAAGTTATATATTTGTTGTTGACTATTCCTTTTGCTACATGCTGAGGTTACAGAATTGATAAACTGTAAGAAGAACTTCTGTAGAATTCCTTCTAATATTGCATATTCAGAATATAATTGGAATGAGTAAATAAGATGTTGGAATGAGTAAATAAGATGTAGCCAGATTGAAGGGCATTCTGAAGGGTAGTCTTCAAAAATACTAGTGTCATAAAAGATGAAAAGGCTAAAGAGCTATTCCAGATTAAATAAACTACTGATGACATAGTATGGTACTATTTCAACACCAACCAAAAGGTCAGAAGTTCAAATCCACAAAATGTTCTGAAGACAGAAAATTAATCTCCTCCAATAGAGATTTATAGTCTGAAAAATTGGATGGAGGATCGCTGTGATTTGGAATCAACAACTCAGTATCAGTTCGATTTTGGGGTTTTTGTTTGTTTTGGTTTTAAAAGAAACCTGGCAACTACATGCAATCCATGATCCTCGACTGTAATATAAATAGGAAAATTTGTTATAAAGGCCAGAAAAACCATTTACTAGGAGATACTGGATGGAGTATTTTGGAGAAGTGAAATGTGTGCAACTTATCCTCAAGTATTTCATCAGAAATAACAGCTACATATATACACAGAGACATGAATGATTATATAGAACAAAGCTAATGTAGGGAAATTCTGGTAATTAGTAAATCTAGTTGGAAGGTGAGAATCACTGGTGGCACAGTGCTTAAGCACTTGACTACTAACAAAAAAAAGTCAATGGTTTGAATGTGCTAGTTTTTCCACAAGAGAAGGATAAAGTGTTCTAGTTCTGTTAAGATTACAATCCTTGGAAACTTTATGAGACCTTGCAGTATTTCTTTGCTTGGAAATTAACTCAGTGGCAATGGGTTAGTGGAAAGATCTATAGGCTTTTGTTGTACTACCTTTCAATTTTATGTAAGTTTTAACAATTTTAAATAAAAATATAAATGTTTGAAAGTTTGTTTGGGAATACAACTGAGATTGTTGTTGTTATTGTTGTGTACTGTAGAATCAGAACCAACCCACAGCTGAGCATCCAGTGGGTTTTCAAAGGCTGTTAATTGTGCAGGAGGAGATTACTCATCCTTCTCTCACAGAGCAGCTGGTGGATTCAAACCACATGCCTTCGAGATTGCAGTGTAGCTTCTTGGCACTAGGCTACCAGAGCTCCTTGAGATTAGAAAATGTAATTATAAAATGGGGCACAAGAAGCACATCAAACTACAGGGTAAAACATACTTTAACATTGTGTGTGCCTTAAGACATGGACCATTTTAAAAAAATTGGTGATTTCATGTATTTTTTCTGACATTTTGTGTAATCACTGGTACTTAGAAAAGTTGAGTTATGCTTACCACCCAAATCAAATCCACTGTCATCAGGTTTTTTTCTGAATCATAATCACCCTCCATCAGGTTTCCAATGCTATAAATCTAAGCAGAGAAGACTGCCCATCTTTCTTACTTGGAGTAGCTGGAGCAGTAGACATATGTAAACATCAGTAAAAAGTTGACTATTAAGGCAATTCTTCCTAATTACTTTCACCAGGTTGTGGCAACTGAAGATGATCTGGTACCTCCCAGCCTAGTGGAGCCACGTCCCAGAGAAGATGGCTTAGACCACAGAATTGCAACCCACATTGTGTCTATCCTGCCCTCTCTCTGTCTCTCAGAGAGTGAGAAAAAGGTCAGAGGGCTTGGGATATTCAAGAACTTTCATGCTTTGGGGGAAAAAACCAACATATACCATCTTAAAAGTGCTGTCATTTAAATTTAAACAGAATCTGCACAAGATATTCTTATCAGAAGAAAAAGAAAATGAACGTAAAGCAGTGCCCAAAGGCCCTCTCCTACTAAACTACCATGATGCACTTGCCCACAAGAAGTATGCACTAAAGGTAAAGCAAGAAGGTTACCCTAAACTGAGACTGATTTCAGAAAGCACATTTATGACACTAAGCACATTTGTATTACTTAGCTGTATTACTAAGAACAAATCTTATATCATCTTAACTAACACTTCTTAAAAGAGTAGTTCAAAATGGATACCTGCTTGAAAAGTGGCACCTCAGAAAAAAATAGAGATGAATCAATTACTTCAGCATAGATATTGTGTCCTCTTATAGAGTCCAGTTAGCCATTAACTGAATTGTGACTACCACAAAGGTTGAATTAAAACCTCATAGTTACTTACCTTAAGTCTCTTTAAGTATCCTATAAAACAGTAGAAATGAAAACAAAAATCTCAGAAAAGAGAGGTGAGTATAGATGAAGCCTTAGTAGTTCATCATTGTGAATGGACCAGTTGTTTCAATGCACCAGTAATATTCTGGCAAAGTGGGAACTAGCTTCTCTGACCTTCAGCAAAATACCAATAGTTTGTCTTCCCCAATTACCTTTGATTTCCCCTGTTCCCAAATAATGAGAGTGAGGGTATCATGTTTAGCCTTTTCCATATGCATAAGGGCCCTTGACAGCTTACCTTAATGCCTTCTGTCATGTTGCTCTTTTTTATCAGGACCAAAAGAATTTCGATCCAGTTCAAATTGAGCGGGAGATGCAGTCCAAGTTGCCACTGTGGGAATTCATTCAGTTCCCATTGCCCCCGCCATGGAACAGTACTAAGCGTCTAGCTATGATTCATGAGCTCATGCACTTTTGTACAAGTGGTGAGTACATTGCTTTCTCTTAGCCTGAACTCATTCATTAATTGTCATATTGGCCTAATTTTGCATTTTTATATGCAAAAAAATATGTTTTGCTTTTCAAAAGAATTTTCAGAAGCTAAGTATTTTGATTGACTACAACTTTCTTTTATTGAATATTATCATTAAACAGTACCATAGCTATCATGCATAATAGTTTTCAGTTTGATTCACTGGGGTTTCTTTCCACTGTGTCACCACAATTAGAATCATTCCTTATTTCCCTCCCTCCCTGTCGCATCTCCCCAGTGACATCAATGAAGTTGACATGGTAATCCCTATCCTAGCTGAGGTTTAAAGGTTCATGTGGGTTTTTTTTAAATAACATACTTTTTAAATAAATAAAATAAAAATCTCATGACATCACAATCTTTTCCCTGAGCAATCCAATGTTTCCCTCCTGCCTCTCTCTCCATTACACCTTCTATTATCAAAATCACACTTATATTAAAATAACAAAGAGATCTGGGAGCCTAGTGGTAAGGAGTTGCACTGCTAGAGGAGAAAGATGGACAGTTTCCTCCCATGTAATTTATAGCCTCCGAAGTCTCATTAGAGGATCAGCTATGAGTTGATTCTGACTGATGGCAATGAGAGAGTTGGAAAAAATATAACGCTATCTGGACACTTGATTGGACCTATTTTTAAATTTATTTTTTGGACCTATTTTTATTTATAGTATCAAGTTGGAAGCAACCCATAACTGACCCTCTGGTGGGTTTTCAGAAACAGTAAATCACATAGGATGAGTTGTGCATCCTTACGGTAATCCAAACTGTAACAGTCCATCAGTGGGAAGTTATACAAAGGTTCTTCTTGGAGAGGCAGAGATCTGGTTAAATTAAAGTTACTTTCTCTTTGTTCTTCAAGCTAGGTAATTATTCTAGTCGTCCATCATTGTCAATTGCTAAATCTACAGGATAATTCAATAATTATCTTTTGAACTAAATATAATTATTCGATCTCTTTGGACATGCACACGTACACGCAGTTCTCAATCACTAAGCAAAGGTTAGATGGTGGTTCAAATCCACCTAGAGATGTCTCAAAAGAAAGACTTGGCCACCTGCTTTTGAAAGATCATAGCCTTGAAAGTCTCCAGCACAACTCTATTCTGGCACACATAAGGTTACTATGAGTTAGAATCAACTCTATGGTAACTGAAATATATATTTTATATAGTATGGATCTCTGGTGATGTAAAGTATGACATGTTGGCCTGCCATCCTAACATTAGCCCCTCAACCACTCCTTGCTAGAAAGAGAGACAGTCTCCTCCTCTAAAGATTTACCTCTTTAGAACCTCTTACTCAGTCTCCATCAATCAGAATCAACTAGACAGCAGTGGATTGGGCTGGGCTTCTTCTTGTTGGGGTTTTTGTAGTGTAATATTTAAGCACTCAGACTTTGATTAAAAGATTAGGAGTTCAAACACACCAGCTACTCTGAAGGAGAAAGAGGTGAATGTGTCTGCTTCTGTACAGATTTAATGCCTTGGAAATCTTCTATCTTCCAGGATTGCTATGAGCCAGAATCAACTAAAAAAAAATAATAAAGCGGCTTTGGTTTGGGTTTATCTGTAGCATATTAAACCAGGCTGCTCCTTGGAGGCAAGGATTCTGGGGCTTCGTCTGACATACTTTGGACATGTTGTAAGGAGAGACGGGTCTTTGGAGAGGGACATCATGCTGGGTAGAGTGGAGGGACAGTGCAGGAGGGGAAGACCCTCTATGAGGTGGATTGATTCAGTGACTGGGGTACTCGGGATGGGTGTGTCAGAGGCAATGAGATTGGCACAGGATAGAGCATGGTTTAGGGCTGTTGTACATAGGGTCGCTATGAGTCGCAAACGACTCGACGGCACATAACAACAACAACAACTGATTCAGCTGGGTTTTAGGGGAAGTATATACTGAGTTTCCTTTGAGTACCATAATCCCTGTGGAACTGCTTTTCTTATTCATCAGTGAGACAGCTCTCTTGTGATAAAAAATACCAAGGAGTTACCAAAAGAAAGTAAGAATAGAATTCAGACAAATATCTGAATGACATCCTTGCTTGTTCTTTCCACTTTCCAAATAATATTTCTGCAATATTGTTATAATGTTGTCATTGTTGTAATATCTGTCAAGTTGAAATTAATGTATCACTGACCTGCCAATGGGTTTTCTGAAGCTGTAAATTGCATGGAACACGTTTGCCCATCTTTCTCCCGTGGACCAGTTGGTAGATTTGAACCACTTGCCTTTGCATTGGTAGAGCCACTGCCTACCCACTAAGCCACCAGAGCTCCCTACTTTTTTTTTCATACTCAATGAAATGGAAACAAAAAACCAAGGTATTATAGCAACATCTTAGACTTAGGTGTCTATGTATTTCTTTGATACCTTGAAACTAACTTGGAAAAACTCTCTTCTGACTCCTATTTAATGAAAGTGTAATACACGTGTGGATTCTGATTACAAATTAGCTACATTTCTGCCCATTGAGAAGTGATATGGTTATTAAGTCAGAGAGTAAGAAACAAGAAGGATAGGGTAGTTCTTTTTCACAGTAAATCAATCTTCTGTTGCTTTGATTTGTCCAAACTTCTTCTTCACTTTGCCCATGCGTCCTTGCTCCCCATATTCTGTTCTCGATTCTTCTTCAATGAGGGAGACATAAGTTAGTTACAAAGTATTTTATTTCAAACAATTTCACTCCCAACTACATCCTCTTATTCTTTATGGAGGAAATAATGACATTAAGGGATTTTTTCCTTTGCATCTTCCTTTTTCTTCTACCCATAATCCCTTACTTTTCTTCCATAGAAGAGAAAAAGAGAAGGTCCATATCATCTCATTTGGCACAGTCACTAGGTAAAACTAACATCAGTATTTGCTTAGATCTCTTCCACCTATAAGGATGGGAAGTAAATAAGGGGGAATTTGACCTAGGATGGGGACAGATAACTGGTAGCCTGAGATGTTCACACACTCAAATTTAACTCTACCCAGAGATAAAATTCTGAGAAGTATATTTTCAGCACAAAATGAATTTTTTTATGAAGGAGGATAAATCATAGAATGATAAATATTTCTGACAGCAGTCTGAGAATTCATCTACACCAGATCTATTTTGAGACACATTATCTGAAATCCTGAGATGATAAGTTATTTACTCTAAACTTATGACAGTAGTAGAAATGTCAACAGGAACATTCTGATCTCTTGATGTACAGTCAAGCACCCCTCGCTTACATCATTGACCATGACAGAAGAAAAAATAAACACCCCACAAAAAAATCACAGTAGGAATCTAATGTTAAAATCTGCAAATAGTGAGCACCTTGTTTAGGCTACAATTGATCTAAGATGGGTGGGATATAAAAATTAGAGTCCTTTCTTTGTGGAGTGCTGAAAATAAATTGAGTTAACGTTGTCTCACAAATGGAAAGGCCATTTTGTATCTTTAAGCTCTCACAACAGAGTACTTTAAGCATTTAGCTACTAATCAAAAGGTAGGAGGTTTGGACCAAACTACTTTTCCTCTGGAGAAAGATGAGGGAATTGCTTATTTAAAGAATTAAAGCCTTGGAAACCCTAGCAGGCAAAGCTACTCTTTAATGGGCTTTCTGTGAGTCAGCATTTGAGAGGAATGAAGTGGATTTGGTAAGGACTTGGGCACAAGGGTCATTAAGAACATGTGGATCCAAATTCTCCACAGAGTTCCCAAGGATTGTATGATCCAGACCATGTATCACAAAACAAATTCTGTTTTCCTCTTGAGGCAATGTTCTGATGTGTTTCTTCTGAAAAGAAGGAATATTAAATTGCACAGACATTTTTGTTAAGAAAGCATTTAACCACAGAAAGGGCAAAGTATATATAGATTCTCTTTTCTCTTTTCATTTTAACCCTAACTAAAAAATCTCTCTCTCTCTCTCTCTCTCTCTCTCTCTCTCTCACCCTATCTTGATTTCTTTCTAAATAGCTGTGTTACTATTGTTGTTAGTATGTGCTGTCAAGTCAACCAACTATTAACTGACCCTCCAGTAGATTTTCAGAAGCAGTAATTGCATAGGAGGAGATTGCACATCTTTCTATTCATATAGAAAAATCCAGGCTACCTTAATACAGTCATGCCATCACCTCATATAATTCAGGTTACAGTGTAGTGGAGCAGGATATGAAGAATGTGGCATCGGAAACTTAGGAAGATTCATCAACAACCTGCATTATGCAGATGACACAACTTTGCTTGCTTAAAATGAGGACTCAAAACACTTGCTTCAGAAGATCAAAGAATATACCCTTCAATATGAATTGCATCTCAACATCAAGAAGACAAAAATCCTCACCACTGGGCCAATAGGCAGCATCATAATAGATAGAGAAAAGATTGAAGTTGTCTATTATTCCATCTTTCTTGAATCCACAATCAACATGGTTGTTATTAGCAGTCAAGAAAACAAAAAACATATTACATTGGGATATTCTGTTGTCAAAGACCTCTCCAAAGTGCTGAAGAACAACAATGTCAGTTTAAAGACTAAAGTGCACCTCGTGAGAGGGATGTTGTTGTTATGTGCCGTCAAGTCGTTTCTGACTCATCGTGACCCTATGCACAACAGCTCTAAACCCTGCTCTATCCTGCGCCAACCGCACCGCCTCTGACACACCCATCCCGATTACCCCAGTCACCAAATCAATCCATCTCATAGAGGGTCTTCCCCTCCTGCGCTGTCCCTCCACCCTCCCAAGCATGATGTCCCTCTCCAAGGACCCGTCCCTCCTGGCAACATGTCCAAAGTATGTCAGACGAAGCCCCAGAATCTTTGCCTCCAAGGAGTAGCTTGGTTTAATCCTCTCCAGGATGAATCTGTTTGTTTTCCTGGCAGTCCATGGTACATTCAGTACCCTTCTCCAGCACCACAGCTCAAAAGCATCCACTCTCCTTCTGTCCTCCGTGAGAGGGATAGTCTTTTTAATTACTTGTTAAGCATGTGAAAGTTGGACAATGACTAAGGATGACAGAAGAAGAGTTAATGCCTTTGAGTTGTAGTGTTGGAGAAGAGTTTTAATATCTCATGGACTGCTGAAAAGACAAACAAGTAAGTCTTGGAGAAAGTAACAACTAGAGTGTTCCTTGGAGGAAAGGATGACAAGGCTTTGGCTCACATACTTTGGGCAATGTTGTTAGAAGGGGCTACTCCTTGAAAAACAACATTATGCTTAGAAAAGTAGAGGGTCAGTGTAAAAGAGGAAGACACTCCATAAGATGTATAAATGAAATTGCTATAACAATGGCTTCAAGTATGTTAGAAATGATGAGCATGCCACAGGATAGCATAGGTTTCAAATCTGATATTCATAAGATAGCTACCAGTAGTACAATTAGTACTCAATGGCACGTAACAATGGAAGTGTCCTAGTGGTCTCTTCTGTAGGATAATGAATGCATTGCTGGACCAAAGGCCTCACCTCCCTCATGGTTCAACTCCAACAGTGGCTTCACAGGAGAAAGATAGGAAGACGTTTTGTGTGTGGTTTATAGCCTCGGAAAGCCTACTGGAGAGTCAGCTATGAATTAGTTCTGATTGGCTAACAGTAGCTGATAATGTTTACAGAACTAGACTCACCCTAGTGCACCTCAAAACTCTGCCCTTTCTCTTTATTCTGTCACATTTCATTTTCCCTTTTGTTTTGTGATATGAATGCATTCTCTCCACTGCTAAGTTTAATAGATAGCATCTTGTTGTTGTTTTTGTGTACCATTGAGTCGAAGCCTCCTATAGCTAACCCTCTGTTTTCAAAGGCAGTTATTCATACGGTAGGAGATTTCCCGTTCTTCTCCCATGGAGCAGCTGGTGGATTTGAACTGTATGCCTTAGGGATTGTAGTGCAGATTCTTGCAACTAAGCAACATATTCTACCACCACTGAAACTTCACACATATCCCATATTTATGTTCCATCCAACACCCTTGATTCTGCTCTCTTCATCACCTCATACTTAACAGGTCCAAATTTAAACTCTTTATTTCCTGTTAAATTTGTCCTTGCCCTGTCCTCTCTATTTTAGTAAATTGCAAATATTTCCCTCAAAACTTTGAAGTCACTGGAGAGCATTATGCTGAGTGAACTAACTCAGTCCCACAAAGATAAATACTGTATAAAACCATTATTCTTGAATGAATATAAAGATCCAAGGTGGGTGTGGGTGGAAGCAGAGGGAGGATGATGTGCGCAGGAAGTGAGGATTTATCATGGAGTTGTACAATTTTATGGGGAGGTAAGGGCAATCAGAAGAATCTGTTCTGGAAAACAATGTGTTCAAAATTTGTAAATAAACTAATATTAAAAACAAAAAATATTTGAAGTTATTATTGATTTATCTCTTTTTCCTCCAATTTTACAACCAACTCCACCATACACCCTCACTACTATTCCAATCTAGTCTGCCATCAGCTCTCACGTGGATTATTTTACTACTTTCCAACAAGCCTATCATTTCTCATATTTCTACCTATAATTCCCACATAAAACCAGAATTGCACTTCTGTAACTTCCTAACTCATAACCTGCATATGGAAAAACCCCGGTTACCTGCCACACAATTTTCGAGTTCGTCACTTGCTAATCTCTCATTTTTCTACTCCACTCTGTCCACATGGGCCTCACTTCAATTGTTTGAGCATTTTAGGAGCATCTCATCTCAAGAATTTTGCTCTTGCTGATTTTTCTACCTTCCTGATTTTTCTGAAAAATGCTGACATGATTTGCTTCCTTCTTTAATGTCTCTGATATATTAAATACTTATCTTTTCTGTTTCCACCCATTAGAATGATAGCCCATAAAAGCTGGAATCTGTTCACTCCTGTGTCTTCAACTTTTATTATGGTCATTGACACATAGTAGTTGCCAAACAAATCTTTGTAAATCACTGAAATAGAAAACTCTCCTTTTTTTTGTAGTTCTTTTGCCTCTTCCCTGTCACTCTTGTTTGTTTTGGGTTTTTCCCCAAAAGGAGCCCCCCAACTGCCCTCATCTCTTTTGGGGGGAAAAGAGGTGATCATTGATCAGTCATTATCACTCTATTTTCTCTTTCTGAAGTTCTTGTTTAACAAGAACTTCCAAATCCCTGCTCTCTATCCCTCTTCCTTGAATATCTAGTGTAGAAGAACCAAATATTGACTTTTTTTCCTTTGAATCTCATGTACCTGTGACAAAGCCTGAGATATTTTAAAAATAGTGAGTGAAAAGAATAGATGCCCCAACAGAATAAATATACAAATGAAAAGAAACCACTGAAAGCTGTTATTTTTTAAGGTGGAAATATGCAAGGTCTATACTTACGCATGTTCGTGGGAGGAGGTCTTTCTTGAGCACAAACAAACAGGAAAATCTACTGAGTATAACAGACTTTGTTAGACCTAAGTGAATAATTTCTCCATTTAAAATTACAATAGTAACAAAGTGTTGTTGTTAAGTGCCGTCGAGTCGTAGACCATTCATAGGGTCCCTATGAAACACTTGAACACTTGTATAACGTTTATCGTTTCTCCAACTTCATAGGGTTTCTGGAAGCAAGCTATTTCGGAAGTGGATGCTACTCCTGCTTCCAAGCTTGTTTTAATTGGAGAGCTCTACCAAACACTGCCCACGATGGGTAACCATTATTGCATTTGACATCAGTGTCACAGTGTTCAGCATCACAGCAAACACGAGCTACCTCTGTGCAGCAAATGGACAGACTAGTGCTATATCACTTAGAAGAATGTTTGACCAAAAACAATTAAAACCAGGCCTGAGGGCCACAGATTAAAATCACCCACCTTTAGTTTCGTAACATCACTTTCTGTCCACTAGGCCAACTGAGCTCTCTCTATGTTTTTGCTGTTGTCATTGTTGTTGTTAAATGCTGTCAAGTTGTAGATGACTCATACCAGCCCTATAAACAAAAGACCTATACACTTGCACAACTTTCATCATTTCTCTAAGTTCATAGGGTTTCTGGAGGCAAGCTATTTCAAAAGTAGATGCCATTACTGCTTCCAAACAAAATGTACAAAGTATACTTTTACTAAAAAATGTTAAGTTTTAAACTAAAGTGGAAACTGAAATGTCAATGTATATTAATCGGGACACCTATTCGGCTATGAAATAGTTCAGAAACATTACCTTTAGAGATTGGATCTTGATTGCAGCTCTTTTATAACTGTAGAGTTGTAGGGTCCATATTGTTGTTGTTATGTGCCATCGAGTCGTTTCCGACTCATAGCGACCCTATGCACAACAGCTCTAAACCCTGCTCTATCCTGGGCCAACTGCACCGCCTCTGACACACCCATCTTGATTACTCCAGTCACCAAATCAATCCATCTCATAGAGGGTCTTCCCCTCCTGCGCTGTCCCTCCACCCTCCCAAGCATGATGTCCCT